AAAAAAAAAAAAAAAAAAAAAAAAAAAAAAAAAAAAAAAAAAAAAAAAAAAAAAAAAAAAACCAATACAATTACTAAGTCACGGCTCTCCTCTCAATCTTAACTTCCCTCTGGGCCTATTGCGAAGAAGGACTCCCAACTGCTGATCCTCCTGGGGATCTGGTGGGAGTAAACCAGCATGCGCTCAGAGGAGACACTCTCCCTATCCCATGTCTTCTTGGTGGTGAACCCTGTGACATCACTTATTCAACCAGTATTTACCATACATGACTTGACTTCAACTTAAGCCTTGGAGTCTCCATTACCCAGTGCGGCTTTGGGCCACCTCTTCGAAGTCACTATGACCTAGATGAGGAGGGACACACCAAGGCTCTCTGCCAAGAGACTATGGGAGGCCCATTGCCCACTTAGGCTTTCTCATCAATAAAAGACACTTGGGCCTGTGTCTTTTTTTCCAGCTACCCTGGAGGCTGAGGTGGGAGGAGGGGAGCGCAGGAGTTGGAGGACGCTGTGAGTTGATTGTACCACCACACTCCAGCCTGGGCAACAGAATGAGACCCTGTCTTTAAAAACTAAAGCTAAATAAACCCATGTAACCAGCACATCCACTCCTTGAACCTAAAATAAAAGTCAAAATTATAAAAAAAATAAAAAATATATAAAAGTAAAGGACATTCGGCTTCCAGTGGCCAAGGGTCCCACAGGCAGGGTCTCTGCAGGAAGTATTGTTCAGGGCTCAGCCCAGACTTGGTGGCAATCAGCTCCCTGCCCACTCTGTTCCATGCAGAATTCTAGAGTCATTACCTCTGTGAGTGTCCTTGTGGACCCAGATCAGGTAGATGCGCCTGCTGACTGGGTTGAACATGTTGCCCAGAGGAAAGAGAAGCTTTATGTTGGGACAGAGTGACTAACCCCTTTTCAGACAGACGGCAGGGCAGGCTCTAACTGGCTGAAGCTTCCAGGAGCCTCCCCCGCCATGGGTGAAGGCAGTATGTCTGGTGAAGACAGGCTCAGGATTTAGTGGGACATGCCAGCCATCTCATGCAAAGGGATGACCGCAGGAAGAGCCAGCATGGAGGCCAAGGGCATGCACCTGAGGCCAGGTCAGTGCGGGTAGGCTGGGGGCATTGGAGCTGGAGTGGCCCACTCAGGCCCTGGAGAAAAGGTAAGGGGGATTTTATAGGATGCTCTTGGCCTCGCCTGGGGGCAAAGGTGAGGAAGACAGTCAACGCAGGGAGCTCTGTGTCAGAAATATGTCTGCCTTCAAAGAAAGCGGCCAGCCTGGAAGAGAAGGCACCTGGGAAGGCCTGAGGGACAGGGGAAACAGAAAGGCACTGGCCAACCAACCCCATTGGGCAGCCAGATGGCTGGGCTGGGTGATACCTGGAGGCGGCCCCCAGCCATGCACAGTGGCCAGTGGGCACGGGAGGCCCAACATCTGCTGGGGAGTTTAGTTACAAGCAGAAAATCCAACACACTCACCTTCCCGCACTCATGCTCTCATCCCCCAGAAGGTAGAAAACACCGCTGCTGTGAAGCATTGTAGCCAATTATGACCAACAGAGACAGATGGGCTGGCCAAGTGAAAACAGGATCTCAAGGGGAGTGCCCATGTCCCCTAGGTACCCCGGAAAGTGGTCCTGGATGATGGTCACATGCACAGACTCTGGTCAGACGGAGCTAAGGGCCGATGCCAGCTCCACCCTTACACCCTGGGTGACCCCAGGCAAGTATCTAGGGCTCTGTGGACCCGGTCTGCAGAATGAGGATAACAACAGCATGTACTTCTCAGGGCTGTTGGGGGGATTAAGTAAGGTAAAGTATGCAAACAGCTTTTCCTGGTGCCTGACATGCAGAAAGCATTCAGTACATTTGAGCAATTATGATCATTTTCCCAGCCAACGAGAGAATGTTCAAACACTATCTGGCACGTGACTTGGATTTTCGGAATACGAAATTCCAACACTCAGAGAAGAAACAAGCCTGGAAGGGAGAATTACATTAGAGGGTAGGGGAGTGTTCAAATATGTCATTCTGACTGTGCTGTTTAGAAAACAAACAGTGGGCAGGAAGTGGTCAAACCAAAAAGGGGAGCAGAGAAGAGGGTGACTCAGGGATAGAATGTGGGCATTGACAGTGGGGGAGTGGACATTTTCCAGGTGGTACCTCACCTAGGTGCTGTTCAGAAAGTCGCAGTGAATCCGAAGACCCCTCCAGTCCTGCAGGCCACCTCCTCTCACAGAAGAGAAACCAGGCTGTCCAGAGGTGGCTCAGAGAGAGACAGAGGGAAGCCCTTGCTAAAATGCCTGCATATTGCAAGTATCTCACCAGAAGAGTGCAAGATGACTTCGGTTCCAGCATTCACATGTACCTTTTTGCACAGCAAATTCAGAACAACGGTAGCTAGAGCGCTAGCCAGACAGGGGCAACTCCACACTTCAAGCATGACCTCTGAGCAACTGCGGAGGTTGTGACAATTCTTGGCTGCTTTGCAGTTAAAAGCTTTGGTCAAAGAAGCTACCAGACTAGCACAGGGCATGGAACAGCATGGGGCCCAGAAGAGGCCTCACGGGAAATGTAAAGAGACAGTCGGGATAGGACCTGGCCCTGCTTTCTCGTTAGAAAAGTGTGGACTTTCTAACGTCAGGGAAAAGTATTCTTTTGGAAGATTGCAGCAATCCCACTGCTTTCCCCTGAAAAATGGGTGTGTTTACCTCAGGGAAACAGTGAATCATGCAATAGATCATCTTTCTCTTCTTCCTTTGGCTGCCAGGAAGCTCAGAGCCAAATTCACACTTCACCTTTAGTAATTTTGTGAGAACCTGTAATTTGCATGTTTGGGACACAGTTTCCCCTTAGTCTTTTCTCTGGCCTTGACTTTTACTCAACATTTTTCCTATTTTACTATTTGTAATTTTGAAAGT